TGTCTGCCAGCGACAGGCCGCCTGAGGGAGCAAGCAGCAGTGGGACGGCCTGTCGCGGCAAAGGCCTGGGGCCTGTGGAGACGGTCTCCACGTCAATACATTTTGGCTTTTCTGGTTCAAGCCAAGTCAGAACCCGGGCAGCAGCCGCTGTGTTTATTAGCTCCAAATGAATCCTGCGGTGGATGCCAGGGCTGACCAAGCAGCCCCAGCCCTGTCTGTACCCAGGTGGCTCTCCCGAGGGTTGATGAATTCTCTTCTTCTGCCAAGTAGTAAAGGGCAGTGGCCACAGTCTGTCCTTTGGGCCATGGATCTGGGGTTTGCAATCTGGCTGTGTGAATTAGTAGTTCAGTGACCTTGGGCAGCTTCATTTACTTCTCTAAGCTTCAGCTGCCTCCTCTGTACAATGAGTAGTTGGCTCCTGGGAAGAATAAATTAGATTAGTGGTTCTGAGTTAGGGTGATTTTGACCCCTAGGGGACATTGTGGGGAGAAGATGTGACTGGCTACAGCCCAGTGGGCAGAGGCCAAGATGCTGCTAAGCATTCTACAGTGCACAGAACGCCCCCTGCAACTGAAATTATCCAGCTGAAAAGGCCAAAGTGCCAAGTCTGAAAACCCGGACTTAGATGGTACAAGTGACACACCCAGCACAGGACCTGTAACACTGTGCAGTGCAGGTCTGCCACCACCACTGCCACCACAACCGCCACCATTGTCATTGTCATTATCACCATCACCACCTTTATCATCACCACCACCATCATCACTACCACTGTCATCACAACCACCGCCACCACCACCACCACCATCACCACCACCACCACCACCATTGTCATTATCATCATCACCACCATCATCATCACCACCATCATCACCACTACCACTGTCATCACCACCATCACCACCACCATCACCACCACCACCACCACCATTGTCATTATCATCATCACCACCATCATCATCACCACCATCATCACCACTACCACTGTCATCACCACCATCACCACCACCATCACCACCACCACCACCACCATTGTCATTGTCATCATCACCACCATCATTACCACCATCACCACCACCGTCACCATCACCACCATCATCACCACCATTATCACCACCATCATCACTTGTGGCAGAACGCAGGGGAGAACGATCAGCGAGCACTCTGAGGGAGGAAAGTTTAACCTTTATTTCGCAGATCTGCTAGTCCAAGGGAATTCCGGATCCAAAGCCTGACCCCTGGAGGCTCTGACCTATATCTCCTCCTGTGGTGGCCCCTGAGGTTCCCGGCAGCTCTGCCCAAGTCAGCTGTGATGGGGCCTTGGGGTTAGGCTCTACAGCTCCGCCCAAGTCAGTCAGAGTGGGGAAGTAAGACTACAGTTTTAACCAGATACTGAGCTAGGTTGCAAGCCCCCCCATTTTCCTTTTCATCACCATCACCACCATCACCGTCACCATCACCATCACCAACACCAACACCACCACCACCATCACTGTCATCATAACCACTGTCATGATCACCAATGCTGTCATCATCATATTGACCACCACCACCATCACCATCACTACCACCACCACCATCACCACCATTGCTGTCACCATCACCATCACCACCACCATCACTGTCATCATAACCACTGTCATCATCACCATGATCATCGTCATCAGTATTACTAGCCCTGGAATTCCCAGTACCCAGAAGAGCACAGGCAGGAGGCCTCACAGGGGACACAGCCTCGTGCAGAAGACTGAACGGTCAGTAATACTAGGTCTCGATCCTTTTTCTTCATCGCATGTATTATGATTGGAATACGTGCACTTATTTCTTTGTTGACGTGTTCACCGCTGTAAGGCCCACGGGGACAGAGGCGCCCTGTTTTCTTTGCTGTGTCCTCAGTGCGGGTTGCACATGAGCGGATGAATCCCGATGAACCAGACGCTGTCTCTAATAAACGCCGGACTGTACAAGGAATAGCAAGTGCAGGTGCCGTTAAAGTTCCTCTGAGGCACTCCCAGAGGGCCTCGAAGAGGAGAAGCGCGGGTGGAGGGCTAAAGGGAAAAGGCAGGGACTGGGCAGGCATTGGGCAGGAATTCCAGGAAGAAAGCCATCCTGGAAAAGCTGCCAGAACGGAAGAGGCCTCTCGGAATCTCAGAGCTGGAAAGCAACTCAGAGAACAGCTAGCTAAGGTCATGGGCGATTCAGACACCAATCTCCCTGGCACCAGCTTTGGGCGGTGAGATCAGGACCTGGGACCCCCTGGGAGCCCATGAAAATAGTAAAATGCACCTCGATTCTCAAGTTTTCATCTAAGTTAGACAAATGACCGAGGAAAGTGAACACAGATTTCCCCCGCCTCTACACACACATCCCCCAACACCCAGGCACCAGGAGTGTGGCCACAGACAGCCCAAAGCCGCACTGTCTCTGACGTCATTCTATGCCGTTTGTATTATTTTACAACAATGCTCTGCCCCACCTAAGTGATACCCCTCGAAGTGTCGTCCAGTGAAACTGATGTCAGAATGATGGAAACTCTAGCTTTATGCAATAACAGCAGTAACAGCCGCTAACACGTGTACAGCACCTTGCCTGCATCGTAGCTCATGTAACCCCCACCAGAACGCCGTTGGGTGCTGCCGCTACCCCCACCTTACAGAGGCACCCAGCACACTGCACGGTGCAGCCCCACACCTAGACAGGGGGAAAATGATCGTGAGTCATTTTCCCAAGTTACAGTCTCACTCCTACAGTCAGTACCAGTGCGTGAGTTTGGAATCAGGCTCTGCTCATTCCAGCCGTACAATCTTGGCACTGAATCCCCCCATATCCTATTTCCTCTTGTGTATAATGGGGGTTAAGACAGTGATGGCGAACCTGTGACACGCGTGTCAGAGGTGACATGCGAACTCATTTTTTTTGGTTGATTTTTCTTTGTTAAATGGCATTTAAATATATAAAATAAATATCAAAAATAAAAGTCTTTGTTTTACTATGGTTGCAAATATCCAAAAAATTCCTATATGTGACACGGCACCAGAGTTAAGTTAGGGTTTTTCAAAATGCCGACACGCCGAGCTCAAAAGGTTCGCCATCACTGAGGTAAGAACACCTCCCTCCGCAGGCTGTGTCCAAGGTGAACTCCAATAACAGAGTAAAAGTACCCGACACAGTGCCGAGCACACAGGAGACCCTCCGAGGAAAACAAAAAACACCCACCCTGTTTTTCAAACCAAGCCCGTCTCTGAACCCCTGGTGAGCGTCTCTGCGCTGGACGGAAGAAACGGAAGAGGGAAACAAAAAGATCCACGACCCAGATGACCGCAGGCCCCTGGTGAATGAAATCTCGGCCGGGGCCCTCAGCCAGGCTGCCTGGGTCAAACTGGAGGGCAGGAAGCTGCGAGCTTCCTCCTCAGGAACTCTGTGCCCAGACAAGAGCTTCCTCCAGCCGACCCCACCCACTTCCCCCAGAACATTCCACACTGAGCCAGGAGCTCCAGGAAGAGGCCAAGGGGCCCGCTGGGAAAGATGGGCACCTCCCTCCCAGGTCACCTCTGACCCGCCCCCCTGCTCAGCTCCCACTGCCTCCCCCACAGAGAGACCAAAGCTTGGCCCCTGCACCGCAGAACCGCCTCTCCCCAGTGTCTCCAGGCTGCTACTAGAGCCAGCGGGAGGCAGGCTGGGTGGCTGGACTGCGGATCCTCAGCCATGGCCCTAGTTTGGCCTTTTTTTTTTCCTTTGACCCCTGGCTGGTCATCCTGCTTCTCGTCTGGGGGCCCACTACAAATAAATGAGTCCGTTCAGAGACCACTCCCCTCCTCAAGCGCCTTCCATGGCTCCCACTGCCCCTGAATTAAGGTCAGAGTCCATGCCCTGAGATGCATGGTCTTCCACAGACTGGAAGGTCCAAACCCCCCTCCAGTGCCCCCGGGACTCACAGGTTGGAGCCAAAATGGATTATGCCAAGATTTGCACGCCCATTTCTGAGTCTGTAAATAGGAATTCACCTCTCCCGTCTCCACCTAGCTGGATCCGACGCCGCCCGCAGTCCGCCTGACTCTCCCACGAGCCCTCTCCTTTCCTCGTCTCTGAATCCCTCCACCACGCTGTCCCCACACTTCAGGGAAGGCCGTGCCGCCTGCCACCCCCCCCATGGCCTCCACACTGTTCTCTACTTACTATTGCCCCTTAAACCAACTCCCTCTTTTACGTAAATTTATTTTCAAAGGAAAACTTATATCTCCACCATAAATAGAAAACCATACCATCTCCCATAGACAGAAGGCAAATGAAGAAAAGAGTTACGTTCAAATATACAGGAAAATAAACACAGTCATTAAAATGTTTTAAATGCCTCTATTTGTAATAGACTTAATATTGCTGTACAATGTGCTTCAAATCCTCTCACACTCTAAGAAATGCTGCCCTTGTTTGTCTGGCCCTGTCTCACAGTTACCTGGGGACTTGTCATCGTTTTGTCCTGGTTGATGCCCAATAGCACTTGGGGGCACAGATCCTGCAGCCCCTCTCACAGTGCCTACACATAGCATGACACGCAATAAAAATATTTATGGAACAGAATGTTCCAATCTGCTCAGTCATATTAACATGGTCCCGTTCTCTGCCGGGCCCTAAGCCCATCTGATGTCCAACTTTTTACCAAAATGCTATACATGCCCTCCGCGCGCTACCCCCAAATCAACCCCTGACCACGGGGATCTCTCGGAGCATGACACAGGACGTGTAGCAACAGTTAAGGAGGTGCCTGGGACGCTCCCAGATCTTCTCGGACCCCTGCCGCCTCTTCCTCTGAAGCAGCAGGACCCGACAACCAGGAAAAGCAAGCCTCCAGTCAACCATTAACCAACACTCCCGCAGCAGACACACACCCTCCCGGGAGCTAGCAAAGTTCTGGGAAAACCCTGTAGGAACTGGGCCCCTGGCTCCAGGAAATACAAGTCACCTTCCTGTCCCCTCGGGACCAGAGACCCCCAAACACCTACCAGGAACAGAGGGGGGCTTCTCCCGGGCCTGACCCGCTGGTGCCCCAGCCGGGAGGAGGCGGTCCCGCCCTCCCACCACACAGCTGTCAGGGGCGACCCTGATGAAGATCTGAATCACTCGGACTTAAGTCAATAAGTGGCAGCCACCGGGGAGGGCCCAGCTGGAGCCAAACCAAGGCCTGGATTCTCCTGGGTGGACGGAAGCCTGGCCACGGCCGGCCACGGCCCATGTGCTGGAGACCGCGTCCCCTGCCAGCGCCGTCTTCTAACAGGGAACAGGCACACCGGGCATTTCCTATCAGAGGGAGGGCTCCGTTGGGGGCGTTTGCATGCTTTCTGGTGTTACTATTTTTTTAGTCTGGCCACTTTTAGGACGTTGAAGGATTTTTCTGTTAGGGTACGTTGCATGGAAAGTCTCCACAATATTTATCCCCAGGGGACATGCACGGGGCGACAGCATCTCATTACTGCCTGAAGCCCCAGCGGCCGGGGGTGGGACACCGACCCAATTAGTGAGGTGTGGCTCCCCAGGAAGAAGGTAAACTGAGGCACGGATAATGGACCAATGTCATAAGCAGAACCTCCAAATGCAGCTCAAGGGGGACACGGGTGATGAAGCGAGCCTCTGCGGAGCTGTGGGGTGGGGGGCCCTGCTCCCCACACCTGCCTAGAGTGAGAAGGCAGGGGACAAGGGTCTCCATGCTGACCTCATAGTGCAAACAAGCTAATGATGGAAAAAATGTTGTCGTGATTAAAAAAAACCACCAAAACCAAAAACCCCACCACATCCGGCAACCTGTCCCCCATGGAGAACTAAAGCAGGTGCTACTGAGAGGGACAGATCGACACCATCACAGAGGTTCTCAAACTAGGTTCCAAGGAGCCCCAGGGGTGTCGTGCACCTCTTTGGGGGCTGCTGACGTGGACTAGGGAGGAATAAAGGGGGTGCGTGTGTTCCCACCCAACCCAGAGCCACTGGGCTCTTATCTGCTGCATACATTGGATTTTCAGGGAAGATCACTTGAAGATTCTGTACCTAAAGGTGTTGAGAAGTGCTGACGTGTGATACCGGTTGTATCAAACAGACAAATGCGATGTGAGTCTTGTCTGAGTTTGTGGAAAGCGGTCGCCACAGGCCCCGGTGTGCTGGGGACCCGCTGGCCCTTCTCCCTGAGCCCGTGGGTGTGCGCTCACTGCGATCAGGAGAGCAGGGGACGAGAGGAGCCGCCCCAGGTGTAGCCTGGCCCCTTGGCCTTCCCGGAGGATCCACCGCTGGGAAGTGCGGCTGACACCGAAATCAGGACGGGCCTCGGGCTAAGTCAACATTGGAAAAGACACCGAACCTCAGCAGGGACAGGGGCCAGGTGCAGGCACCAGAGCCAGGTTTGTGACTCCGGGGACTGGAGGATGGAGAGACGGGTAAGTGGGGCCAGTAACTGCAGGGGACTCGGACCAGGCCCTGGAATAATCGCGGCGGCAAGAGGCTGGCGTCCTGGTGCTCCTGGTGGCATGCTGCCAGGGAAGGCTGGCTCTGTGCGGAGGCCCCGGGTGGACCAGACTGAGGGTGTGAAGAGGTCCGAGTGTGTGACTCTGCACAACGAAGAACGCCGGGCCTGCTACACCGACGCACCCTCACAACTGCTCCACTCAGGCCGCTGGGTGTCCTGTGCAAAGGCCACGTCCCCGCTGGCCTTCGGCAACAAGCCTCCCTGTGTCTGCCCAGCGGCTCTTTCTTTGAGAGCGATTCCCCTCTGGGCCCAGGAAATCGTGCCCCCTCCTTCTGTAAGGGAGAACCTGGCCCCTCCTCACTCCTCCTCCATGTGAATGTGGCTGAAGTCAACCAATTAGACCAGGGGTCCTCAAACTACGGTCCGCAGGCCACATGCAAATACAAATATTGTATTTGTTCCCATTTTGTTTTTTTACTTCAAAATAAGTTATGTGCTGTGTGCATAGGAATTTGTTCACAGTTCTTTTTTTAAACTATAGTCCGGCCTTCCAGCGGTCTGAGGGACAGTGAACTGGCCCCCCGTTTAAAAAGTTTGAGGACCCCTAGAATAGAACATCCCCGCCCTCAGGCACAGTGACGGGCTAAGGGCTGAGCATGTGGCCCAGGCCCAGGAGAACAGAGTCCTCCCTAGGCTCTCACTACAGTTACTGGAAAATGCCCTCTTTCTCTGTGAGAACCTCATT